AAAAACAGCATCGCTATTTTAAGCCATTAAAAATTATTTTTGGTGTAACTTTTATTTGTAATATGTATTTAATGACTTTCCTTTATCTGTTTTCACTTTTTACCGAAAAAAATTGGCGATTTTTAACGAATTTCGTTTTGTCGTATTGCAATCGTAAAGAAACAAAATGGCGACATAGTGGAAGTTGGAAGTAAATCTTCATCTTGCGAAGTTATCGTAACATAGTTATTTGATATTGATTGCAGCTAAAATGCGATGATTTATCCTTTTTGTGATGCGATTTCAGTAGGCGAAATAGCCCTAGTGTGTGCAACGTGTAAGCATGGAAACGTGATGGACAATGAACATGATGAAGTTTATGTCAAATCCAGATGAAAATTTATTGCGTGTCCTGTGAATATTTTAGCGAAAATATTATGCTTTAGCCTAAATGGAAAAGTCGTAATCCAAGGAACCTATAGATCATCAGTACAGTCACTACAACCACTCAGAGGGTATGTAAACAATGTTTTTTTTTTTTTTTTAATAAGATTATATAAAAATGGTAAAGATTATGTGAGAAACAGATTTAGTGTTACAAAAAATCAAAAACTCAAAATTCTGAGCGATTAAGGCATTTAAACATGGTAAACCCATGTGATTTTAAAGGTCAATTTTTTCAATTGAGTAAAAAATAAATGATTTTTTTAAAATTTAGAATCTGCAGATGCAGTATTCTGTAGTTAATCCACAAAGTATCAAGTCAAATTATACATAACTTATTGTTGCAACCACTGCCAAAATGTACAACCTTCTCCCATTCTGACCGTGGTCAAATGAGAAAGAATATTTTGTAGCTCGATCATTAATATATTGTAGCTCATTTAAATACTGACCATTTGCAAATAAAGCAAAGTAAGATATTTTACTTTGATCATGATACCCATGCAGTCGCAGTGTAAGAAACACTGTGAAATGAATGTAAATTGTTCATTTCAATTGGGATGGAAAAAAACCCATGTTCACTTGCAGTGTCATATGACGTCACAGTAAAGATTGAGGCATCAAGATAAAGATTAGGAAACGTTTTGATCAAGCAGCCACGAGCAGGAGAGCTTCACGCTTACAACAGTGTGGTAATGTACATATATAACCTGACCGATTGATAACCAAGTCCACTCAAATCATCAGTCAAATGTACTTCACTCAAACGTAGTACATGTATTTCAACTTTTGAACCAATCTAGAAGTCAACTCTTAAACAATAGTATGCATCAGGTTACGGATTTTATCGTTGCAGTCTTATAGTTAGGCTGTTCCCTATCAAGTACTGTACTGTGTCTAGTTTACGAGTAGAATCTAGATTGTAATTAAGGCTTTAAACAGATATATAATTTTTTCAGAAGGCAGATATGTACAGTATCTATCCTGATATTTGAGCTACAATACAATGTCAATATGTATCAAATATATGAATTGGTCATGTTGATCAGGAAGTCTTTTTTTGTATTGAACAAGATGTGTTTGTGAAACACTGTGCGGCCGGCGGTAACAAAGTTAAAAAAAATGTTTTAGCATATAGGTCACAGTCTAGGTCATAAGGTCATTGATCTCAATGACATTTGAAAGAACTTTATTAGTGGAATATGAATACCGAGTATGAAGTCTCCATCTCCTATGATTCAAAAGTTATGGTAAAAGTTCGAAAGAATATTTTAAGCATGTAGATCACAGTCAAGGTCACAAGGTCATTGAAGTTGGTGTCTTTTGGAAGAACTTTTTAAGTTGAGTACGCATGCCATATATCAAGTCTCTACCTCTCAGAGTTAAAAAGTTATGGTAAATGTTCAAATTGACAATAGACAGATGGAAAAACAGCTGAACAGATAAACAGACAGGGCATAAACAATATACGCCTCAGATCTATCGATCCGGGGGAATTTAAAATTTTAAGAACAAACCATTTCTTCACAATTATTTATGAATAATTTTCATTTGATTTAAAAGAATAAGCTGTATACATGGTATATCCGCTGTAAAACAAAATTATTTTATATACTATAATAAGTGGTGAGAATTATTACTGGTATGTATTTTTATGTAAAAATTTTGATTTTAAAATATGTTTATCGTATATAATTTAACTAACACAAAAAATAAGTATAAACAAAAAAAATGCCTTATTCTAAAGACTTTTTGCGATATTTAAATATTTTTACATACGTATTGATATATGTGTACTTAATCCTCACACAGAATCTTTATTATTGATAAATCATTTCAGCCTCAATGGCTCCTTTTAAATTTTACTGGAGTTAAAAGAGAGTGTTTGAAACTGTGATCATTACTTTGATATCAAATAGCCAAGTTATGTTCAATTTGTAAAGTTACTTATTGTCATTGTGCCCCTATTTCATAGCATAAGTTTTAGTAGTCAGTGACAATTTATTTTCTTTTACCTGTAAAAAAAAATTAATTGCTCTAAATGTGTAATATTAAATAATTTCCTCCTCAAGTTTGTATTTTGTGTATTTGTGTGATGTACACATTACTCACTGTATAAAGTAATAACAACTGTAGTTAAAACTGTATTACATGTATTAGCATTGCTTTTTAATGTTTGGCATTTTTGAAATTAACCTAATTAATTTTTCATATTTTTCAGGCCTATGGCAGAGTAAACAAAGCAGAAATTCCTCCAGGATTAAAGTATGCTGATCTTCTCTATGGACCTAAATCCAGCTGATGAAATTCTATCTGTTAAAATAGTGAAAATTCAAGCCAGGAACTTCTGTTAATCAGACAGTGGCATTAAAACCTTGTGATGATGTGCGCCAAATCCATTGATGGCATACATATATACATTTTAAAGTTATCTCCCACTTAGATCTAAAATGAAATGGACAGAATTTAAAGTTTAAAGTGGATTTCAAGTGATCTGTGTATTGTACATAATTAGATATGAGATGTATGTAAATATAGAAATGCATCCTGCTCTTTTGTACAATCTTACAACTGTTCATGATGATTGTCCATATATAAATTGATTTTATAGAATAAATGAAAACATATATTTTACAATATAGTGTGATGTTTGTTTTAAGTATAATGTACTAATTGAGAGATACGTGTTTATATGATATTCTGTCCAAGTTGTATTTTTAGTATATACATTTAAAAAAAAATACTGCCCCTGATATTTTATTTTTGAGGACACCAACATTCCATGTAAATAGGCAATATTTCTGTTTATACATGTAGCGTTCTTATTGAAGCTGAATGATGCATATATAATTCTTAATTGCATTTTCATGAATACTCTAAAAATAGATTTTTTAGATCACTTGAAAAAGAATATCAAACACTTATTGATGACTGGTAAAATTTTCACTGATGTGCCAAGATTAATGAATTGTAATGACAAAAATAGTAATACCGGTGTGTCCTGATTCATTTAATTCTTAATATTTTGAATTTAAATAAAAACATTTCTTTATTTGGATTTAATTCATTTAAAACTTTAATTGGAAAATTCCATATTTATAAATCTGCAATAAGAAACTGAATGTGGGGGTAACACATTGTTATGTAGGGTATTTTAGACTGAAGTAAATCATTTAAATACACAGAAAAATAAGCTTGTAGTATTTTAAATGCCTGGGAAACACACTTTTTGACATTTTAAAGTTATGTTCACTATCCTTAGGATTTTAAAACCAGTACAGGGAATGAAAATGACTCCACCATCAGCATGAATTCATTAGGCCGAAATAAAAAATACTCGTTTCCTTTCACCCGTCCTACCCTACATTTTACCTTCCGACCCTAAAAGTTTTTATTACATTTTCATTTTTTGGGTTACTATTTTACTAAAGTTGACCAACAATATTTACAGATCTAATACATCGTAAGTGTACAGGATACCTTTACTTTATAAATCTTTTTTAACTAACTTTCTTGTTATTACATACTGTATGTTCTGGTAGTTCTGAATTCATTGAGTTTTGAATATAAAATTTTTTCCCTACCTACCTACCCTAATTTTTTTGATCAGGGGACAGGAAACAAGAGTATATTTTCTTTTGGTCTTATAGCGTGTTCGTTATAACCATGTTTTACTGTGTAGATATTTCTTCCCTTACATCATGATACTAGACAGTGCAATAAATACATTTTCCTAATTGTTTAAGCCAGTAGTTTAAATCATCCAATATTTATATATGCTCTAGTGTACCATAGATTAAGAGTTTGCTGCTAGCCAGATAATTCTTTTCATCTTGATGATATACATGTGAAATTAAAACTGTTAAGGGACTTCAACCCTCAGCCAGGAAGGACAACTCTTTAATTTAATTCAAAAAGTCTTTAAATGAAGCTCGAAAATTAAATCTTTTCATGCAACAATTGTCATTATATGCCTATCAATGTGCTTCAAGGTTCTTTGAACTTCTCAGAAAGATCTTATTAAAAGTAGAAATTTTTAGATACCAATATTTATTAACATGATATGAAATTAGAAGTGATTTATGGAGCTTTGCAAAGAACCTTGAAGCACATTATAGGCATATAATGAAATTTGTTGCATGTAAATATTTAATTTTCAAGCTTCATCTGAAGACTTTTTGAATTAAATTATAAATTATAGAGTTGTCCTTCCTGGCTGAGGGTCGGAGTCCCTTAAGTACCGTACAAAACAAATTTCACAATTTTGAAAATGAAAACTTAACATGAAATTTACATTAACATTTTCTATCCGTTTTTCTGTTCTGTCTTAATTAACCGCCTTGGTAAAATGTTCATTTGGTAAAATGTTCATTTTCTGAAAATTTAACAAAATCCTAAATCATCTTTACCAAATTTTTCTTCTACCACTCCTTAGAAGCTAACAGTGCTGTATTAGGGCACAATATATTTGAGGTAGGAGACAAAATAAAGATTATTTTATGTTTGTTGTAGAACAACAAAGTACACATGTAAAATTTTAACTTCATGGAAACAATAAAAACAAAATTTCCAGTGTCTAAAAATTACAATTTATTTATAGTCAATGCCAAGTTAACCAATGAAATTATAATATAAATGAAATTAAAAAGTGTCCCATAACATCTTTTAGAATTTTATGAAATAGTGTAATCATGGAATTATTAGATTAATAGTTTTACAATTCATGTCCCATATTCACTCTTTTTCACTTGCATTATATTATGTCAATAAAGTCAAATAAATAAATTAAAAGAATCATGGTGTTCACATGAACAAATGAAGTTTTTTTTCTTTATTTCTTTCAACAAATTCACTTTCTAGAATTTTTTTATTGTAAGTTATAAATCCACCATTACATCATACTGTTCATGTCCTCTACTGTCCCTTCCCTCTACTTTTAGGAATGAAGAACACTTGTCTTTTTTAAAAAGCAGAATTTTGTTTGAATCATCAGTCTCTGACATCACTGCATGTAGATTGTCCGGTCCTTTGAATGAAACCATATAAACCGAGTTCCAGTGTCGCAGTTCATGTAGGTGTTGGTACGAAAAAGATCTCTCACTTTTCAAAGGCTTTAGTGCTGAGTACAGGTTAAAATATGCAGCCCTTCACCGGAACGTGTTGGCGTCTTCATATGAATGAATTAGATCTAGATTCTTATGTGCGGTGATGAAGCAACAAAACTGTGGACTGTTCATAGCACTCCATTTCTATAAAAGTACAAAGAAGACAAGATTTATTTATTGACGATTGATCACCTTAATATTATTTTTATTTTTTTTTTTATCTCCCACAATTTTAATTTGGGAAAAACACAAATAATTATTTATAGCATATATAATTATAAAGACTTCCTATTGATTAAAGTTTGTGTATTTAATTGAATTGAGATCTTATTTGCAAGGGTATAAATAGATTCAAGTACATTTAAATAATAAATTCTACATACAGGACATACTAGCTGCAGATCTGTAGCTCACCGAAAAAAAATATATTGATAGACCAGAGAGATACAGTGTCACCCATTGAAAAAACTGTATATTTATTGCGCACAAAAAAGTGCGCTTGGTTCTCAAATTATTTCTCCATGTTTTTTAAACTGTAATCTCAACATATTACTGACCACTGTTCCTATTTAAACATATTCTTACACTGTTTCCACGACCAAACATTCCTCATAATTGTTGTTAATAATCCTCCTGAACCTGATATTGTAGTCATCGAACATTTTGCTTATTTATACTGCCATTTTGGTTTCAAAGATAATTCTGTCCAATATGCTTCGTTAAGATGTCAACTACGAGAGTACTTGATTGAGGATAAAGGAATATTTTTAAATCTTTCTTTTTGCAATTGAGGTAAGAATTTGAAAGAATTAATCAAGAACCGAGCACACTTTTCATGCGCAATAAATATACAGTTTTTTTCAATGGGTGGCACGTACTGTAGCTCTCCAGTCTATCAGTATATTTTTTTTCAGAGAGCTACAGATCTGCAGCTTAGGACATACAAACTACTTTGTATACACAATTTTCCACTATGAAGATGCTATTCATCAAACAAGGAAAAGAATATGTAGTGGAAAGTTTTAAAATAAATGTATGCATATTTTCAACCACAGATCCTCTCTCCTATATATCATAATTATTTCAGCTATTTCAAAATGATTTTTTGTACATACACAAATTCATTTTTCTGCACAAGTTTTTATAAAGTTAAGAACTTTCGCATTAAAAAAATATTTACACCAGATTCATTAACATAAAATCAACTATTGCATTGGATGAATTATTACGTTTTGTTCATTACACCTCAGTCTATGATTAATTGCTTGCAGATAATCTCGTCAAAGGCACTGCGACTTTTATTTCTGACTTCCGTAAATTTAGAGGAAATTCGGATTGAAAAACTTCGTAGCATGTGTATGCCCATAAAACCCAACGGAATTTTGTAATAATTAGTCATACTCACAATATCATACTTTAATTGTATTGTTTAACTGATTTTTCATGTGCTTGCCTAACTACTTACCCCTTTATCACCGATCTCAATCAGCAATCCGTGGCGTGGCCTCACCAGTAGACTCCATAGCGTTTCCGTTTGGTGATCAGCTGATTCAGATTTGAAAATATCACGGGGTCATTGCTATTGAATTAATTTAATAATAATCTTAGGATTATATTGGCCAATTTGTCTGCAAAAAGTACATTCTTTGTATTTGTTTCCGACTGAAATAGGAATGGCTATTTTGCGGTTTCGTTTTGTGAAAATCAAATCTGTAGTTTTAGTAAACCAGGATAATCCTGATTTTACGTAGGTCAATGCTGGTTTTAAAATAGGTCAATGCTAGTTCTATCCTTTGCTTGCTGATGCTGATCCAAGTAATGCTGTTTTTTTTTAATGCTGATGCCGATGCTAGCTCTATCCTGATCCTACTTATGCTGATCCTGATGCTGGTTTATGTAACAAAATTAGTTCCCTGCACTGTACTCGTTGCTTTGCAACGAGGTTTGCTCTAGTTATTATTATTATTCTTTTTTTGACAAAATTTTGTGCAGGCGACTTCTCGAAAACTATTCAGCGGTTTTTCATGAAACTTTCACAAAATATGTGTCATTATATGAAGATGTTCCATCCGTAGAGAAATTTTCAAAAATTTGCTTCTAGTGCCAAGTTATGGACAATTTCCTGATTTTAAAATGCGATTTTGTAGCGCACTTTTATCGAAAATGGCTTAGGATATGAACTGGAGACTTATTGGAGATGATAGATCATGACTTTCTGGTTTGCAGAATCACCCTTTCGTGCGTCGTCAGTACTTCCGGTCGTTACGAGATGCAAATTAAAAAAAATCGTATTTTCTAACTTGTTTTTCAGTATTTTCCATTTATTTTTTGCATGTTAATAGAAACCTTTCTTATAATGCTTACTTTATAATTTGTTTGAATATTGATCAATCTAGACTCTAGATATAAGCATTCAAAAATCTGAAGCGGGTTCAAAATGCATATGGCGGCTGTCTCTGTCAACGACGACATTTCCCAATAGGGGTTTACGCAGTCAGCCGAGCGTTTGCTTCAACAAAAGTAACATAAGGATAAATGAAATGTAAAAGAATACTTGGATTGTCACGTCGTTGTAGTTCTGTGTCAAATAAACCTCTTCTATAATTGGTTTTGGCTGGTTCTAAAAGTAGAAAAAGAAAAGACTAAATGTGTAAATGAAATTCGATACCTAATATCTTTTGTGCACCACGGAAAAACATATCTTAAATCATACTTATAAATAATACTTTCTCAAAAAAGAAAATCAATCGTACCAATATCAATATCAAGTATAAATCTTAACCACTTTTTTTTCTATGCACACTTGTATCATATTGAACTAATAAATTAGACAAAATAGTGAAAAAGATTTTTTTAAAGGTCGCTTCATGGAGTTTATTTTAGCATTCTTGTCTCAAAGACCTGATTCAATTTATTGAGCATAAATAAAAAGTGATTCCTTGACCGTAGTAAATGTAAGGCGGGCCATGTTTTTCGGCAAAACGTTTCAATCTTTATTGATTAACTAATTGGGAAAGTTCACTTTTGGGATAAACAGGAAATTAAAAAAGTTAAATATTTATAACTGTTTCATTGCTTTAGTGTTAAATGCATATATACATTATGGAATTTCTAAAATGTGTTAAATATACTTTCTAAACTTCGAAACGCAGGCTATAAGAACGTTCTTTTTTTTAATTTCATTGAAGCTATTACACCTATTCAATAGAACCTTCCAAAAGAAAGGCGCAAAGATTAACTCCTGGCGTTTGGCGCTTAATTTTGAATAGTGACCCGCCTTTGATAATTTTAGGAAAGAAGCACTGTTTCGTGAATATATACATGTACAAGTGAATTAAGAGTAGAGGTCCAAGTTTCGTAATATTTAGAGCGTTGGAATTTCATGCTGGCGACTTGCGTTCAATCCCCCTTGTGTGCAAATGATTTTTTAGCTCCATTTTACGTTTTCTTTCCGGAATCGGACGGAAGACCTCTCGTTATTCGCAACGAATTCTTATCTAGTTATCATTCTTATTCTTATTACGTGAAATGAGAATAATACCGCCCTAGGTGGTACATGTAGGTAAAACAAGTATTTTGTCATTATTAGGATTGGTTGATTTTACAGGATATGTAGTTTATTAGTTGATGATTTTTTTTTCATTTTTAAGTTGTTAGACAAGGTAAAATTTCGGTCGCCATAGGTTTTGTAAAAATCCCGAAAACGCGTATATTATTGACATAGGCTGGGGGAAAATTTATTTGATTACTTCTCGTCCAATGGCATAAGAAATTAAAGAAAAATAGAACTGCAATGGACGTTGTTTAATGGGCCCGTTGAAGGCTCTGTTTTAATAAGCTTTAATGGATGTCGTCCGACTACGTACTGCTCTTGACATTGCTACTGAAATTGGAACATAATATTGAAAGATAGGGATAATTGCGAAATATGTCGAATGACAAATTAAGATAAATAGGTACCAGAAGATACCCAGGCTTTTCTTGAAAAAATGGAGAAAAGGGCATCATTTTGTAGAATAACGTATTTGAATCATGTTACGTCAAAGTCTCCCCCGGTTATGTATTTTCTATAACTAAAAAACTATCCATTTATAGAAAGTTCTTGTGACTAAAAGGTAAATAGAATGTGTTGAAAGGATCACTTCATTATAAATTGGGATCTGACCTACAGGACCAGGCTTGGTTTTTTTCTCTACAAAAAGCTTGTCGATTTCCGTTCTGATTAATGACATTAGGCTAAATACATATAATAATTTGTTTTTCCTAAAATTTTATTTCAGTTAGTAGAGGTATGAGGAACCCTTTCATTGATTTTCTGAGTTTGTAATCTCCATATGTACTAATTGATATTTGTCTTTACTTCTCATGGTTCATAAAGGTAGTGTCTACTGTCTTTGAAATTCTGTTCTTCATGTCTAGGTCATTTATCCGTGGATATAATAAAGCATGTCATTAATGTGTGCAAATTATATAGGCCTAAATGAAATAAAAAGGGGGTGCATTTACTGAAATATGCAGCCAAAACCAATGTGATTTAATTATAAGGAATATATACAATTGAAATTCATTGCAGCTCAGTGCTGCCAAGAATACCTGTATTGAGTAACACATAGTGAGTTATTCTTGTCCTCGAAGAAAGCGTGCTTGTACTGAGGTTCGTTCCGCCTGACCGACAACTGTACATTGGATTTTTACGATTTGATATCTCTTTAGTGTTTCTTATATATCAAGAATGGACATGCATAAAGGATAGATAGTTAAAGGGAAAATACACAAATCTATACAAAAAATCTAAATAGTTTTTAGAAAGGCGAAATTTTAAAAGTTTAAAAGGGTTGTCCCAGGTGGATTCGAACCCTCGACTTTAAAAAGAAAGTATCCAAAGTATCCCTTATTTCAACTGAGCTAGTCTGACTATAAGAATGATGGGCATAAATTTAAAGCAGGTGATGAAAATCAGGTTTCCTTATTTTTTGTAGGTATTTTGTGAATTTCGACCCCAGGGCAGGGGTGCCCCTAAAAATATCTTATCTTAATTTATTCCTTTCATCATAACCTATCAAAATATCGCAATTTTATTTAGGGGCAGGCCTGCCCTGAAGGACTTCAAGGCCAAAATTCATGCAAAAATCAATGCTTTTATGGACAAAATGGTGTTTCGGTCGACTTTGGAGGTTTATTGTTAAGTTGTAAATAATAAATTTGAGGTATCAAATACAAATTTGAAAAATTTAGACATATATACGGTAGAAAACAACAAATAAAGATTGATTTTAAAATGTCGTTTTTTTTTCGGGAAATTTTTCTCTCCTTTAGGTCAATTCTTTTGTTAAAGCGAATACATCCTTTCCCCAATATTGCTGCATAAATACTCTTTATTACAAATAAGCATGTTGTTTTCTGTCATCAAATCAGGATAAAATTTTAGAAAGAAATTATACGAATATTTGTATCAACCCTCGTATTTTTCGTATCGTGAAATATAAATTTTATATTTCATTTTTCGATTTGTCTCCAAAAAAATGATTGCATAGCTGCCTGATTGTCTGCCACGTGTAGTGCATTTATCTTGACCTCATGAATTTTTACTTCAACTATACTTGTCTCAGTAGATATATTGCAGTAGAAATATCATAATCGTATCAGTCAAATATCGAGTCTGGTTAGACATGTAGTAATTTACTCACCAAATATGCTTTTCTTGATAGATGTCACATGGTTATGTATAGTGTATTTTCCAAACATTTGAGTCAGATACATGTACATAGAATTTAAAAAAAAATAATAACTTTATGACATTTTTTTCCCCACAAGTATGTTTTAAATTCAGAACTTTTTTTTCAGATTCAATGTACACCTGTATTTCTTGTTTGTAAGAAAAGTATTTCTGAAATTTTGAATGCATATGATTTTTTTTCAAAAAAATATATCCACAAAAAAGTAAATATACAGTGTTTTTCATAAGCAATTCAATTCATTTTTTTTTTACGTTTTTTTTATAGATTGCAGTAGTGCAAAATATCAATCAGCTGAAAAGAGGCGACCATATAATATTACATCGCCCTTTTGGTATACATATTGCAATTGTAACAGACGTTGACAAGGAAACAGAGGAGTTTGTATTTATTGAAATTAGAAAAGATAAAAATCAAACTTCTGTTATTAGACCAAAAAGAAGCACACAGAAGTTGACAAGGTGGAGAAAATGTATGTATACAATTTTTCGCTACACTTACCATGGCGTTCAACGGAATAGTCCAGATTTAACGGTTGCCCTAATTGAAGCTTGCCTTGCGAAAGATGATACAGGTGTACCATAAATTACAATTTGTTTTCAAACAAATGTTACAATGTTGCTGTTTTCTGTGCTACCGGATATCCATATAAAGATAAACTTGCAGAATTGGGAGAAGGATTGACAATTGAAGAACGGGTAGAAAAAATCATACAAACATTTTTCATAGGTACGTGTGACTTAGGAACTTCCTCTAGGACAAGTTGAAATTGGTGCCGAATTTGCATTGTGTCCAATTGAAAAAAAAAATGCTCAAAATACAGAGCGTGTAT